TTTGGATTTTATCAAATGCCACTTACGTCATTCGCAACACAAAACGCACACACGCAGTCCATGGGTTTCCGGACTCTGTCTTGCTCAGAGCCACCGATTTCGGCACTGGTGACCCACCATTCCGGGGGCTGTACGGTGTGTGTGGTGCCTGCTAGAATTCTCCTCTCTGTGTCGGCTCCGTGGCCACTCTAACAAGTTGCCACATGCTCAGCAGCTTAAGCAGCATACGCTTCGCTCGCAGGTCTGGAGGTCACCAGTCCACCCGGGCCGCACTGGGCGAGGCCCGTGGGCAGCAGGGCTGGTTCTGCGTGGGGCTCGGGTGGGGGAGGGGCGGTGCCCACATCCTCTTTTTCCAGCTTCTGGAGCCAGCCCCCCACTTTCCTGAGCTGCTGGCCCCCCGCCACCCTCCAAGCCCGCCAGCAGGAGTGAGGCCCCCGGGTTGGCTCCCTCTGAGCTCCGTTTCTGCACCCCTCCTTTTTTATGGGCCCTGGAGGTGCCCCTGGGCCTCACGGACAACGCTGGAGGCCTTGGGGCCCGCTGGCCGGCAGTGCTAATTCCACGAGGGCCCCACGGGCGCCACTGCCGTGCAGAGGAACACATTCACAGGCCCCAGAAGTTGTGTGGACATCTGGGGGGGGGGGGCAGACGTCATTGTCTCTGCCACAGTCAGTCTTCTTCCTTTTCAAAAATTTCTTGATGTTTTTCTACATAAGTTTTAGAATGAATCTGTCGAGGTCCCACTGTGCTTGGCTAGCTCCCTCCTTGGCCGCTCCCCGCTCAAAAACAACGTAGTTGGGCCTCTAGTGACTGCATATGAAAGTCACGGCATGAGGCTATTTTATACATCCTGACAAGCGATGACAAAAGCCAACTTTCCAATTATCACACCACAGGGAAGAATTACTTTTCTTCCTCTGTAGAGAAAATATTGAAAGGTTTTCATAATCATAGAAAGGCACCCTCTGTTGCAGACACACAACAGTTACTGTTCTGGATATGTCACCTTTTAACATCCTGTTTTTTGAGATTTTCTTTCCTCGTTCTAAGAAGTCCCCGTGTTCTAACCTAACGTGGTGTCTGTCAGCACGTGCTCTTCCTCAAGGGCCCCACTTCACGGGTGCTGTCAGCCCGCGGCCGCACGCCTGTCCCGCGGCGTCAGCAGAGGGAGCCCCGGCCACCGGCACCTCCCGCCTCCCCTTTTATTGCTGCATCTTCGCTCCCGTGGACCATGCCTGTCGCTCCCTTTGGCACAAGGTCCTCTCTTTGCTTTCCTTCTTCACCTGTTTAGACCGGCCTTGTCATTAGTACACCCCGCCCCAGATACAAGGCCGTGACCTCGGGGCCTCTATCTGTCCCCTGTCTTTATCTCTGACACCCAGCACCACCTGTGTGGGATCCACAGAGGCACCGACTGTCCGTTGAATCAGTAGTTCTTTGTGAAACCCTGACACAATACGGGAAGTCCAGGCGACCTTCACCCGATCTTGCTTCCTCCCTCAGAGAATTACTGTGAACAGACGTTTCTAGACTCCTGCCTATGGAAGTGTACGGGGCGAGTTTTCCCAGAGACAGGGCGGCTGTTTCCTCCCCGTGGCTGCGCAGCCTCTCGTGTGTCCCCGTCACGTGTTCAGGCTCCGCTTTGCTGCTCAGACTTCTGGGTCCACTTTCAGTCAGCATGGCCAAGGTTTCCTCCGAAAAGGCTGTGTGCTCCCTGCCGCCCGTGCGGGGCCACGGCCGGAGTCTCAGCGCCACCGTGACTGGCGGGGCGACGGCACCGGTCTCCACGCGGCTCCCAGCCCACTTGCCACACAGCCCACCAGAACCTTTTTCTAAAAGAGGCAAATGGAATCGCGTCCCATCCCTCCTTAAGACCTTTAGTAGCTTCCCAGGACCTTGGGGATAAAGGCTGAAGTCCTCACAGGTCCCACACGAGGTCGTCTGGTTGTTGCTAGTCGCCCCCCTCGTGTTCTCCTCCTTCCCGCCTCCTGGCGCCTTCTCTCCCTCACCCTTCACACTGGGCCCGGGGGTCCCAAGGAGTTTTAAGGGACCCAGTCATCGGATGCTCAGCCTGCCCAAAACTGACCTGCCCGCGAGGCTCCGCGGAGTCCAGAGCCACCCCACACTTGGTGCGACCCCCGGGCCCGCCCCGGTCCTGCCCAGCGCGCTGCCCCGAGGCGGAGCTGTGCCGGCCCTGGGGACTCCCAGAGACGCGGCATCGATTTCTCTCAATTAAGGCACCACAGAGACAGGCACGCAAGTAAAACTTTACTTTTATTTACAGTAAGTACATGCCAGAGTTTGCAATACATGTTGATTAAATTGTATTGCTAGCAACAGGAACGGCTCAATCTGGAAGAAATTTCAACTCAGAACCTTGATGACATAGTCTGATCAATAAAAGGCTTTGAAGCAAAAAAGACATTCCATTAAGATAAATTCTGTGGAAGGAGAATGTTTCAAAAACAAAAAGGATCAATGTAAAATTCTAATTGGTAAAAACCTTAAGTGTTTTTAAACGGGTGGCAGGTGTTAAATCCCTGTGGTATTTATAACCCAGGGAGCCCGTTCAGAAGGTTTCTGTTGCCACTTTAGGTTCAAATGTCATTTACGACTCATCAGAACTTAATTCTTTTGCAACTCGACTTACAGTAAAATAATTTTAGATATTAACTTGAAAATGTGTGTGGGGAACACATGGCATTCTTTTAGGGGGCATCCACTTAAAAAATAAAAACCGGTGGCCCGTCACAGGGCACCCCTCGGGGCTTTCAGCACCGCGAGTCCTTCGGGTGCGCTGTCCTCACGTGACCGCGCTTCCCCGCCCTTCTCCGCCCTTCTCACCTCTGGCTCTGGCCTTGCTCACTCCACCCTCAAGCTGCATCTCAAATGTCACTCCACTGGGGGAGCTGTCTTTGTCCCAGAGCCAGTGAGCTCTCCTGAACACCCGCAGGTAAGTGCTCGCTGAATGTGAGCGGGAGGCAAGCGCCCGGGGAGCCGGCTCCTCTCGGCCGCGTCCAGGGCCCATGAACGCTGGCCCGGAGCGCAGGCCGGGTCAGTCCCCTCCTTAGAGAACCCGGCGGCGGGAAAGCGGTCCCTGCGCACGGCGTCGGAAGTGTGTGCGGTACGGAGGTGGAAGCAGAGGGTGTGGGGCTTCAGCGGGGGTAGTGACAGATAAGGGGGTGACTGCAGTGAGGGGCACGGGGACCCGCCGAGTAGGTGGCGACTGGGCCTGCGTGTGAATGGGGTAAAAGGGACTGGGGTTTCTCCAGGCCAAGACACTGCCCAGAACGTTCAACTCGCGGCCCATCGTGATATGGGAGTGATTCACAGGAAGGGGCACAGCCGCACAGCCACACACATTTATGGGCTTCGTGGACACTGAACCTGCCTCGTCTCTCCCAGCGCCTCTCCAGCTGCAGGCGTCTGGTCTCAGTCGGCTCCCGGAGATGCGAGTGGCCGGGGCCTCTTCCCTCCCAACCCAAGCCCAGGGCGCTCACAGCAGGGGGCTGCTCCCCTCAGATCTCCGTCCACCCCTGTCCCCCGAGCACCGCCGATCAGTCCCGCTGGAATCACGCAGAGGCAGGCGGCCTGAGAGCGCAGCCGCCTCCCTGGCCCTGATTACAGTTTTCCACTAAAATGCCTTCTGCATCTTTTAAAGTGTGTCTATCTCTGGGCCGGGTTCCGAATTCACTTGCATTTCCTGAAGTCCAAGGGCAGTAGCAGGGTCCAGAAAGCCTCTGAATCCGTTTGCACCTCAATTAAACAGCAACCCTGCCTTCCTGGGTTTTGGGGAAGGTCACAGATAATGTCAGCACCTTGTGGACTCCACATACACGCGCCAAGTACTCTAAGTACTACACGCATACATGAGGCTCCTCATTTAAAAAAAAAAAAAAAATCAGAAACAGGTCGAAGAGCTAGGCCCTTGGGAAGTGCAGCAGGTGGATCTGAAAAGGCCTGATGCTAACCAGTGCGGGGAGAACCTTGGACAAAGGCTGTCCAGCTACGCGTCAACATCTCCCTGGCCTCGCTACCGCGATGGAACAAAGAAGGGGTCCAATTCTGCAACACCCAGGTGGCGCGTGTTGGGAAGGGCGGGGGTCCAGCGCACCTTCTTGGGCGAGGAAAGGAGCAGGAAGGGGGAGGGTCGAGCCGCCTTGAAAAGGAAGGTAACCACGTCCCTAGGCCTGGCCTCGTGCGGATGACGGGGGCCAGGACTTCGCGCTTATCTCACCCCTTTGTAACTCCTCCGAGTCTCTCTTGCTGTCCTTCCCACGGGAGCTTGGCTAATACCTGTTGCATGCACGAGGCTTTCTAACTGCGGACAACGCCTCTGCAGAGCATTCCAGGCACGGCGCGTACCTGTGCACTCCAGTTAGGGCACGTCTCGGCTCCGGGTGCATCCCCGGCCCGGGGCCCACAGGGCGTGCCGGCCAGAGGTGGGCGTTCCCTCAAGCCTATCGGCGCCCAGAGCCCTCCTCCGGTCGGCACCCACCTTCGGCCGGCCCTTCGCCCCAGCCGCCGTTCAGACCCGCGCCAAGCCAGGACAAGCTCCGGAGCATGCGCAGAGACCGGAATCGGCGGACCCCGCGTGCCCTTGGCCATCGCACTTTAACCGTCAGCCGCACTTGACCAATCAGGAGGCGCGTTGTTGCCGAGGAGGGCGGGGGACTATGGAAACGGAGGGCCAATCAGGAGGCTTGTTGTTGCCGCGGAGCCCCGCCCCCGACAGGGGCACTGGGTGATGGGATAGGGTCATGGGGTGTGAGCGCCCCTGAGCTACCAGCCCCCGAAGGGCTGCGGCGTTCCCTTGCCCGCGGCCGCGAGCAGCGCGCCCGGCCCCGCACTCGCCCGTCCGCCCGCCAACCTGCCCAGCCGCGGCGGCGGCGCGGCCCATGCGGCTGAGGACGGAGGCCCGAGCGCGCGCGGGCGGGACGACTCAGGTGCGGCCGGCGGCCCGGGGAGGAGAGGGGGCGGTGGCGAGGCCGGGCGCGGCCCGGTGATTGGCCGTCGGCCGCGGGCCGCGGGCCGCGGGCGTCCCGAGGCGGCCGCGCGGGGAGGGGCTGGCGGAGTAGTCCGCGTGCGGAGCCGGGAAGATGCTGCTGTCCCTGGTGCTCCACATGTACTCGCTGCGCTGCGTGCTGCCGGCAGTCGTGCTGCTCGGCACGGCCCCCACCTATGTGCTGGCCTGGGGGGCCTGGAGGCTGCTCTCCGCCCTCCTGCCTGCCCGCTTCTACCAGGCGGTGGACGACCGGCTCTACTGCATCTACCAGAGCACGGTGCTCTTCTTCTTCGAGAACTACACCGGGGTGCAGGTGAGGCTCTGCGCGCCCCTCTGCTGCCCCTCTCCGCCGGGGCCCCGCGGGCGCACGGGCGCCACCCCGGCCCGGAAGCAGCCAGCCGCGCCGTGACTTTTAGGATCGTTCCTCCCTGCGGGGCAGGTGTGCCCCGAGAGCAAGTGCTGCCAGAATATCCTCCCACGGCAGGGGAAGTTTCGGGTGTTGCTCTGAGCTTTGGCCCAGTGCCTCCCTGCAGACCCCCCAAGTTCGCTGGGAGGCTGCAGCTCGCTTGCTCTGAGCTGCAAGTGGGGCCCCCTTTCCGTCCCGTACCCCTGCGTCGGGGAGCGCAGATGAGCAGGAAGTAGGGCAAGCAGTGGACAGTGTGGGGCGTTTGCTGCGAGAAGGCGGTCATGTTTAAGCTCAGAAGTGCGCTTTGAAAAGTCGGAGACGAGACTTTCTCTTGAAACAAGTTGTTACTGTTTGGACAAGAAATGCAACTTTGTTTTGCCTTCCTCCCCAGTGAAAGCTGGGCGAGCAAATGAATACATTTGTTACTGTAGAAGCCTTGCCATAGATAAAACTCTTGCCAACTTGGACTAGGTTTAAATGTGTGGCTAATCTTTTTTGTCTGATTACTTTCTTTCTCTATGGAGATTGGATGTGTAGATTAAATTTGTAAAACAAACAAGTAGAAGGACCTCTTAATTGTATTGGGTTCTTTTGAAGTCTCATACGAAATAACAATTGTGATTTTTTTTTTCCTATCTCCCAGTTTGGGAAAAAAGGAGATTGATTCTAGGTTATTGCTTATGTTCAGTTGCTCCTCTTTTTTTTTTTTCTTCCTTTTTCTTTTCTTGGTTTGGTGGTGTGGAGGGACTAGGATGACTTTCTTTTTCTTTTTCCTTTTTATTTTTGTGTTTCTGCTTTGCCTCCCCCCCCCCGCCCCCCACACGCAGCTGTTTTCACCCCGCTGTCAGCCACCCGGCTGCTGTTTTGACCTTTGGCACTGCTGTTGGTCCCTGAGGACCTGAGTTTGCCCCAGTTGCAGGTTGTTTTGGGGAGTGGGGAATTATGAGAAGCTGGGTCCCCATTTAAACCAGAATCTGTGTTTACCAGGGGAGAAAGATTGCCCTGCCAGAAAAAGATTTCCCATGAGCTGACTTTTAAAATGGGCCTCATTTAAGATTTTTACTGTTGCGGACCTGTCATTTCCCCTGTGTTCTTCACATGGTTTTACCACGATTAAGTATTTAATTTCACATATGACAGCTGGCCTGGACTCAGAACATACGACAATGTCTGCTGTCTCTCAGAAAAACAACTCTCCTTGTGCTGGGCTATTTTATTGTTGTTCAAAGACTGTAACATGTTCCATGCAACATCGTGTACAATACACCATTGAAGTTCTTGGTGTTTAGGAAGATTCTCATTTTAAGAAATGATTGTAAAATTTTGCCATGTTTCTGAAATTGTGTATCTTACTGTTCAGTATAGACTTCCAATTTATTTTTGACTTCTCAGCACATGGGCATTAATCTGTCGATGATCACTGGGCAATCAATTCTAGGATTCCTAACAAAATTCACCATGAGATCAACATTAGATAAAATTTTGAATTACACTTCAGGGCCATCAGATAGATACCCTTTTATAAATGTGGGTCCCTTGGTGAAGTTTGTTAGGAATCCTAAAACTCAGTGCACACTGATCCTCAAATGCCGGTTATGAACATCTAATAAAAATGTAAGCCCAAGAGTTTCTTGTCCATGTTTTTTGTTTGTTTGTTTGTTTGGGGTGTGTGTGTGTGTGTGTGTGTGTGTGTGGCAAAGAGTTATTTGTTTTGCTGGTTAGTAATAGAGCAGGTTATTTTTTCGGGGCCTTTTCCTAGAATCTGAGGTTCCTATGTAGACAAGGCTACCTTCCGATATTTCTAATGGTTTCTTTTAAGATTAAATCAATAAATGAAAAATGGCTATGTAAAAATGTAAACCCAAAGGAGAAGGATTTTTAAGAACAGACATTCTGTCACCTTATTCTTATTTTTTACTTAGTAGTTTTCATCAGTGACTTTGTCATCACCAAGTTTCCATGAACATTTTTGTGTGTTTTTCTTGTTTTGCTAGGGGACTTTTTTTTTTAACTTGAATTGTTCATCAGTTTCCATTTGCAAAGCCAATGGTGACCCTCCTGTTTGTTCTATGGGTTTCTGAGTGAAAGGGAGTTCGCCATTAAATTATATACATTGCAGAAGTATTTTCAAAGTAGATTTCTTTAAAAACAGCCTTTTAAGGCTTTTAAGTTCTAAGTTTAAAAATAATGCTCCGTAATAGTTGTGAGACAGAGAATTTTCTTATGCATGGAATTTTTAAGGTGAAGAACAAGTAGGTCCGTGAAGTTCATGATCTGTGCTTGGCAGGTAAACCTGCTTCCAACCAGTAAGTGAACATTGGATTCTAGGTAAACATTCTGTTCTTTCCTGATTTCACTACTTTATTTTAATATGCATCTTGCAGACAGGAAAACATTTCAACCGCTATTACTAAAATTACTGTTTATAACTTTTAAGGTTCTCCTAGAATCTCATTAGTACTGAAACTCCACTGGGTACCTTCTTCACCATTTTACTCCTTCGGGATTTTAGAAGTTTTATGCGTCTGTCTCTTGATTTGAGATGCACTGACAATTAGAACACACCTTTTCGCTACTCGGGAGGTACTGATTCAGGTGATAGTGTTGTGTTCCTGTGGCTGCCATAACAAAGCCCCTCAAATTTAGTGGCTTAAAACTGCGGAAATTTATCCTTTAGCAGTTCTGGAGGCCAGGTGTCGGGAATCGAGGTGTTCGTTGGCCTCCATGCCCTGCGGAGGCTCTGGAGGAGAACACTTCCTGTGTCCCTTCCGCCTTCGGGTGGCTGTTGGCGTTCCCTGACTTGGGGCCACATCACTCCAGTCTCAGCCTCTGGGGTCACATTGCCTCTTGCTCTTCTGTCTGTCTCAAATGTCCCTCCGCCTTTCTTAGGACACTTGTTACGGGGCCTACCCGTGGAACCCATGATGATCTCTTTAGCTCGGAATCAGTAACAGTCTACAAAGGCCCTTTTTCTAGGTAAGGGCACATTCACAGGCTCTGTGCTTTGGACATGGGCACATCTTTTTGGGGGTCATCCTCAAAACCACTACAACAGTAACTCCTGAGTTCTGCTCATTCAGTGTTGTGTGTTGTTTTTTAGTTTAACTTTGCCCTGTTTCTTTAGGTATGTTAAAGCATTTGATATCTTCCTTCTTTAACATGCTAAAGTGAAGGGAGCTTGGTTTTATATGCCAGGGTTACTTTTAAAATAATTTCCCACCCTGGCTGGTATGGCTCAGTGGATTGAGCACCTGCTGTCAACCCAAGGGTCGCTGGTTTGATTCCAGGTCAGGGAACATGCCTGGGTTGTGGACCAGGTCCCCAGTTATGGGTGTGCGAGAGGCAACTGATCAATTTCTTGCACAATGATGTTTCTCTCCCTTTTTCTCCCTCCCTTCCCCTCTCTCTAAAAAGTAAATAAATGAAACCTGTAAAAAAAAATTTCCCATAAGCTTTTAGTGTCTCCTTTTCAAAGTTATCTTCACATATTCCTCAAATAGAGCACTTGAGCTGCCTTATTTTCAGAACCAGTCTTTATTCTATATAATGATAACCAACTTTTTATTCATGTGTTTGTGTTTTCGGAATTCTTAATTGATTCTTACATTATCATCTTGTGATAGCTTACCAGAGAAACCTAATAAATTAGAGGCAATAGAACTTCTCCACTAAGAATTTCTTGTACATAGACATGGTGACTGCATTGGCACCTGGCATGGTCACGGCTGTGAAGCTGTGTAGGGCCAGAGAAGGGGCTTGGGGGTGGGGTGCCTGGGGCTCCAGAAGAAAGGCCGCGTGTATGTGTCGGAGCTGGAGCTGAGGGAAAGCTTCTGGGAGTGAAAAAATGCGGGTACAGAGAGCGGGGGGCGGAGGGGCGTGCAGGTGCCGGGGCCTCCTGGCAAGGGGACCCCAGAGGGACCGCGTGTCTGGCCTAGATGCCTGTCCTCGGTGCCGAGGTTGCTGCGCGAACGATACGTGGAATAGTTGTGGTTGATAATGAATATTGTTTAAAACATGTTTTGGAAGCTGATAAAAGTTATTGTAACTTTTTCTTAACGCTGGAATTCTTTTCTCTTTAACAAATTTCTGCTCTTTCCCGTGCTTCCAATAGAACGCACCAGAAACTGCTCACTGGTGTTTGTAGGCCGGAAGCGTCTGTGATGTGATAGACGCCTTCTCGTTGACGCCTAGTACGTGTTTGAGTCGCCGTTTTCTTTCCACTTAAATCTGTTGGAATTTATTTTGACATAGATTTTAGTCTGATTTCTCTGTTTTCTATCTCCCTCTTCCCCAAATGCTAACAGAATGTAACAATAAAATGTGAAATTTGATATACAGTAAGTTAGTTTTTCAACTAGCCAACTTTGTAAAATAATGGCAGGGAATTCTATATTCACAATTTACTTTGCCTCTCTCATAAATTTGTCTAATCTTGTGGCGTTGAATACACTGAGAGTTGCCTCTTCTTAAACGGAATTAGAAGTTAATTTTTCCATTAATATTTTCCTACTGTACTATGGTTTCTTAAACAAAGGTTGAATTGACAGACGATCCAAAGCCAAGCGATAACACAGCATCTCCCCGAAACGCCCCGAACCTGCTTCCCATGCGTTCCTTCGGTGCCGGAGCGTGCACGCCATCCCAGGCCCTGTGCCGGCCCCCGCGGGAGACGGGGGAGCCGGGCCAAGGCCCCTGCACCCACGCAGCTCACGCCCGTCCGGTGGGACGGGGCACGGTGAGGAGGCTGACGGGCGCTGTGCTCTGCGAGGCGTTAGCCCTGGGCCGGGGGGGCGCGTCCCTGAGCAAAGGATGTTTGCTGGAGCTCTGAAGGGCACCGGTCCGCAGGGTTTTGTGGTCATCCCGGGGACAGCTGGCAGCAAGCAGAGCAGACGAGGAGAGGAGGCAGTCATTCTGCCCTGCAGGCGGCCTCTCCTTCCCATTTTCCACTCAAGGGAGCCGGGCTCGGAGAACATGCACACTCAGCGGTTGAGCCCGGGCACCCGAGGCAGCCTGGCTCCCGCGCCGGCTCCGCGGAGGCGCTTTGCTGGGTGGGGAGGCGACACTGGAGGAACTGAGATGCCATCTCTCAGGGTGTTCAACTGGGAAAAACGTGGGCAGTCAAGAAAGGCACTCGACGTGGAGGGTCTGCGCTTATCAGCATCGCGGCCCAAAGAGAAGGACCTTGCTGGGGATCTTCAGCAGGCTGTGTCCCTTGCTGAGAGCTGCTGCGGCTCTTGCCTTGGAACGGGAGGGAGCAGCGCGGCGTGTCCACAGGCGGCCGGCAGAGACGGAGGCCCTCAGTCTGCCCCGGCCAGGTGTGCCCCCGTCGGTTCCACGGGCCCGGCTGCGGCATCCGCCCGCCGGCCCCCCCCAAATGGCCAGCGTGCTCCGGACTCTGTGCCCCCTCCCGCCCGGGCCCCAGCCCCCAGCCCCCAGCCCCCTGCACCTGTCGTGACCTCTCCCCACCTCAAGCCTCAGCCCCTCGTTTGTAACATTAGCGTAGGCACTGGGGATCCCAGCTTGCGTTAATAGGCCTGTTTTCCCTTTTACAGATTATAACCCCTTGGAGGTGGCAGCAGAGGGGAGAACTACTTGACTTGATTTTTTTGTCCTTGCAGCGAACGGGCAGAGCAGGCCACAGGGGCGCCTGGTCTGCGTTTGTGGAAATGGGGGTGAATGCCACTATTAGGGGTGGGGTTTCACATGGCCTTACTAGGTGCCAGGTTGTGACCTAACAGGACCTACAGATACAGAGTCTAATTGCGTTCTTCACTCAGCTAACGCGGGGAGAAACGGGAACTCCCCCTCCGAAGCCAGAGAAGTGAGGCGGGGCACAGAAGTCGGTCAGAGGCCGGAGAAAGGCGGAGGGAGCTCTGCAGCCGCCAGCGAGACAGGGGAACCTTTGTTCACTTCCCAGGAAAAACCTGTTCATTTTGCAATTTTTGATCCAATGCACTTCTCTCAGGTTTTTTATGTTTCCTTTGTTTCTCTGTAGGAACTAGCGACGAACACCCCAAATAAGCAGGCGTTGCTTGGCTAGTTTAGGGGCTGTGCATGTGTGTGCCCGTGTGAGTGCCTTGGGGAAGGCAGCCCCACTCTGTGCCACCCCGGCTGGGGATCCGGAGGCGTAAACAAACGAGGCTGGTGACGCCTGGAAAGGAGGCAGCTCTGGCAAGTGCAAAGCTGGTGCCCGGTGTTCGCGTTTTCCTCTGATGAAATAGTCTCGACCCTCAGATAACACACTTGGGCTGTGTACACAGGAGTCCGTTCAACAATGAAGCTGCACGGAGGGGTGCGTTTCAGAGCAGAGAAAGGGAAGTGGAGATGAGGAAACCGAGGCAGGAGGCAGCAGCTGGCTCCCAGCGCTCCCCCCCGCGCCCCGCCCCCGCCGGCAGGGTCAGCCGGGGCAGCGCGGCTCCGGGGCCTGGCGCGCGGCGGGGCCCGGGGGCTGCGTGCGGGACTGCCAGCCCCGCCTGTGCCCGGCGCTGCCTCGCTGCCCGTCTCGCTATGCTGTTCTATAGAAGTTTTTCTATGTCAGTTTTTAATTTTTTCTTCCAAGTTTCTTGTCTCTTTTGGTGGGTATTCAAAGTGGAAACATACGAGCTCCTAACACGCAGGAAGTCTTCTCATTTGACGTTTTTTATTTGGAACGTTGGCAGAGAACAATCTTGTAACACCGGACAGAGTTTGGGTCTCAGTGCGAAAAACCTGGGTGGGACGCCACCCCCCCACCCCCATCTGCCCCACGGCGTGTCCAGCAGAAGGGCGGCTCCCCGCCCGCGCTCCTCCCGAGATGCAGCACTTACCGTCGTGCGGTCTTGCCGCCTTCCTGAGGCGGTGGGCGAGGCTGCCCGGCTCAGCGACCTGTGCCTCCCAGGCGCTCAGAAACACACGCCCCGAGACTGAGGACGGCACCGGAGAGATGCGTGGGGACGTGCGAGGGGGCTCAGCGGTCGTCAGGTTCCATTGAGATGGGGCACGGTGATGAGCTTTGCGTCCTGCCATTAGACAGTGACTGAGTTCACATTGCGATCTAGTTTCCGGGGGGAAGCAGGGCCCCGCTATTTTCCTCGTCAGTGAAATGTGGCAGATGGGGCCGAACAGGGCCGTGGTGTTTGTATGCGTTATAGTAGAAACCTTGTCATGGGTTACTACTGGTGAGGTGTTTCCTTGGCATAAAAACACATTTAAAAATACATTTCAAATGATTGTAAACATGGAGTTTAAGTTATAGATGCAACTTTATTCAGGTTGAAATTCTTTGTAGGTGCATTTCTACATGATCAGAGACTATTTTCTTAGGAAGATAGACTAGATAGCTGTTTTTCTTATTCATTAATCACTTCGCACAGTTCGGAATAAAAACCGTCCTTTCCAGGGCGGTGGCAGCAGCCGCAGCCCGGCCTCCTCCGGGCGGGCGGGCGGGCGCTGTGTCCCAGGCACTGGCGCAGGCACCCCGCGGCCTCGCGGGGCTCGCCCGGTGGTGCAGAGGAGGCGCCGCGGGCACGCTCGTCCTGAGGGTGCGGAGCAGGTGTGGAGAGGCCGGCGCTCCTGCTCTGGCCCCGGCGGAAGGGCATCGAGCTGGGTGTCGGGTCCACGCCGTGTGCCGGGAAGGCCTGGCCCAGCCATTCGGCAAATGCGCTGTCCCCGTCTGGCCCGCTGGACACCCTGGACTGGCTGGGTGGAAACCAGGCCATGCGACAGCACCCTTCTGCATTGCCGCCTACCTACGGCACAGCGTGCCCTTCCTGAAGACGAGAAGGGGGAGTTTCTCACGGCGAGGACATCCGAACAGCCTGTCGGCTGGCGAGATGCTTCTCGTCAGTGACCAGTTTTGAATAAACAGTTCATGTTAACAAGACCTGTGGCCTCGGTGTGGCCCAGACCCAGCCAACCCCCACCCGCCCCGAGCAGACGCCCCCTCCCCCAACTCCAGTGTGGCCAGATCCTGCCCAGGGCTCCCCAGCTGCCAGGAGGGGCTCTGACCTCCTGCCCCGGCCAGCCCACAGGCGCCCGGAGGCCAGGACGCGCAGAGCGGGCTCTCCCCCCACTCCGCCGCGTGCGCTCACAGGCTGAGACACCCCGGGACCGCACCAAAGCCCCTGGCCTCCTGCTCGCTCTTTCCTCTTCCCTTGGCCCCATCCCCACCTAGGCAGGTCCCCCCTGAAAAGAAGACAAAAAAATTTCAAATAGAGGATTTTGGAATCTGTGCTTTTAGCGACTAATGTATCACAGTGTAGAGGAGTAAAAACATTTCCTCTGTCTTAGGTTTATTGTGGGGGCCTGCAAATTAAACTGACAAAAGACAAGTTAAGCGGAGGAAAGTCATACAAATTTTAGTAGTGTTTACACTTTTTTGTGCAGCAGGGCCTCAGAAAAGAGGAAAACTGAAGGTCCGACCCTCCTGGGTGTCCGCAGGCCCCAGGCACCGCGGCTCCCCCGTCACTCCCATCTTTGCGTGATGAACACTCTTCCTCTCTCTCACTCGGCAGCGCCCAGCTCTCTCAGACACAGGGCCCTGCGGTGGCATTATCTTCGCACTGCGTGTCCGTGCATGCACTGCATGCTCACTGGCCTCTGCCGCTGCTCCGCGGGCGCGGCTCCTGGTCGCTGTCAGCAAATGTCAGCAGGCAGCAAGCGCTTCCTGTGTTGTTCTCAAGAGAAAAAGCAATCATTGTGTCTCACTTTATGACTATTACCCTGTCCTACACTTAACATTTTGTAACAAGCAGAAGTTTAGTTAGAAAATCACGGAGGTGGGAGAAGTGAGCCGGCTGGGCTGCGTGGGCTTAGGGAGCAAGTCACAGAGGCAAGAGGGGGGGCCCTTGGAGCTGAGGAGCAAAAAGGGCAAAGAAAACACACCTCAGGGAAGGAGAGGGGAGAAGGCGCAGGCCCGCTCCGGCGGGAGCAGTGCACCCCGGGGGGTGGGAGGGAGAAGGCGCAGGCCCGCTTCCGGTGGGAGCGGTGCACCCCGGGGTGAGGGGAGAAGGCGCAGGCCCGCTCCGGCGGGAGCGGTGCACCCCGGGGTGAGGGGAGAAGGCGCAGGCCCGCTTCCGGTGGGAGCGGTGCACCCCGGGGTGAGGGGAGAAGGCGCAGGCCCGCTTCCGGTGGGAGCGGTGCACCCCGGGGTGAGGGGAGAAGGCGCAGGCCCGCTCCGGCGGGAGCGGTGCACCCCGGGGGGGGGGCGCACCTTTACTTTTTAACTGTGTTCCATTTATGCTCTGGGAGACTCCTAAGAAAAAGTAACTTGTTAGTCATGATTGGAAATAACCATGACATCATGTGTTGGTCAGTTTTTTGACCTTGTCCTATTTAGGATGTTACAGCAGTGCATGCTTTAAAATACCAAAATAATGCTTCTTTTTGTTTTATCTTTTAGATATTGCTATATGGAGATTTGCCAAAAAATAAAGAAAATATAATATATTTAGCAAATCATCAATGCACAGGTTTGTATTTCATTTGCGTGAAACAGGTTTTTCTACAGAAAATGCGTGGGCAAGGTGATGTTCTTACGTATTTAAATGAAAAAATTTTTGTTATTGTTGAAATATGAATTTTTAATGCAGATGTTATATGTGACCTTGTATGTCTGTGATTTTACCCTGAATTCTCCTAGTCTTACCTTTTCCCTCTGCTGGGCATGAATGAGCTGTTTTCTTTCTTTTTTCTATTTATCTGAATAGTTCCTTAAAGAGTCTATGAGTTCTTCCTTTTGTCAGTTATGTTCCTGGGTGCGGGATTGGTGGGTCACCCCGTACACACATTTCGTGTTTTTGAGTGTGACACTGGACGAAGCTTGTGCCAGTGTGTGCGCGGCCGCTCCCTAAAGCCAGCACGGGTGTCTGGCGCCTGCAGCGCCCCCTGCCTCCCCAGAGCTTCGATTTAGTCACAGCTTGTTGCGCTATCAGAGGAATCACAGAGGACCTTGATCTCTAGTAAAGTGCAGTATATACTTAAATTAGGTCAAGGTGCTCTTTGAACTTTTTTACTTTGTAATAATTATAGACTCACAAGCATTTGCAAATGCAGAGTCCCATGGCCCCATCACCCAGTGTCCCCCTGGGGTGGCATCTTACGTAACTGTGTACAGTATCAAAACCACGGCGTTCCCATTGTTTAAAGTGCTTTTTAGTTCTACAGATAATTTGGGTAAAAAAAAACCCACTTCATATTTTTTCAAACCTGATACTGCTCTTGAGGCACACTTCCTAAATGTGATTGTTACTTTAAAAAATACAGCGCCCAGAAGTTGAAAGCTAAGCACAACGTGACCGCCCTGACCAGTGTGGCCCGGTTCCATTCCCAGGGAGGGCGCGCGCCTGGGTTGTGGGTCCGTCCCTGGTAAGGGCGCGTGCGAGAGGCAGCCGGCCAGTGTTTCTCTCCCAGTCTCTCCCTTGCCCTCTCTCTAAAAATAAATAAATGCAGTCTACAAAAACTATGTAAAAATACGTAAACAAACCCAGCCTGCACGGCGGCAGTGCCTGGGTGGAAAGCCGCTTGTGCCCACGGCCGCCCCCTTCTTCCCGCGCCCCTGGGTCTCTGCGACTGAAGAAGGCAAAGGAAGTGGGAGGAGTTGGAGCGCATTTTTCTGCATTTAGCTTATTAATGACTACATTCAGTGTTATAGGACAAGTTACCGCTTCGCGGCGTTGATAGGCGTATTAACGTGGCTGTGTCTTTGGCACTCGGTCACGTGGTCGGCCTAGATGACTCGGTGACAGCGCCCCCGGCATGAGCAAGCAGCCCGCCCGCGGTGGGCGCCGCGCCTAACCCGGGCGTCGCGTCTGTGTCTCCAGACGTCGGTGGGCTTTGCGCCACTAACCGTCCCCGCTCTCCCCCCTGTGGCTGTGGCCTGCTCCCGCCAGGGCCCCTTTACGCAAATAGGCCGAGCGCGTGGGCTCCCCCGCGCCCCCGCGCCCGGGCTCCCGAAGCCTGCGCTTCCTTCCCGGGGAGTCGCTGGTGTGTTCATGTGTATAGGGTTTCTCCCTGTTTAACAGATTCTCTCTTAAAATCCCACCTGCGAGTTCCCTGCCCGCTGCCCTCGACCTGGGCCTTGGTGGAAACACGGCTCTGCTCCGAGGGCGGCGGGGCGCGCCTGGGCGGACGGGTCCTCCCCACCGCCCGGAGGTGGGCTGGTCACGTGACGGGCGCCACGGCCGCCACTGTCGTGGTTGTGCCTGCTGCGCGCCGGCCCTCGGGCGCCTCCCCTGAGGACGTGGGGTAGCGCTGGGGAGCAGGTGTTTAAACCGCTCCTGTGCGGGGCGGGGCGGGGAGGCGAGGCGCCGGGAGGCTCCAGCTACGGCCGGAAGGCCCGCTGGAGGTCCAGTCTCAAGCCCCTCGCTCCCCGGTGCAGGCACCGGCCTCCCCTGGGCGCCTGTCCCGGGCCACGGCTGCACCCTTCCGCTGGGAGGTTGTGAAGGGCCCGTCTGTGTGCCTTTAAAACCCGTAACTTAGTAACGTAACGAGGTAGTGAGTTTAAATTACTTGAGAACTGCAGGCCTCAGAACACAGGGTGGGACAAACGTGGGTGTGCAGTTGTGTGCGCGAAACGCAGAGTTTACTCCTGTGCTATTCATTGTCGCGTTATTTCCCACACGGACGACAGCAGGCCTCCTTTCGCCCACCCTGTGATGGGTTTGGAGCCTTCTCCCAGAAAGAAACAGTCAGGGGCACATAAAAATGGGCATTTGGCTTTAGGTTCGAGGCCCCTAGAGTTTCTCCGTGGTCTTGGGACACTGGCCTGTGTATCCAGGTGCCCTTTCTAAAGCCCTCACGCGATGCTGTGAGTCACAGCCTAGGACCTGAAAACGTAAGGAGCGGAAAGAACGCTTCAAGGGCTGCTGTTTGGCTGAGACAGTCCCGTCCCTCTCTCCTGGGCCGGCCAGAGCACGGCCCCGTCCTGGCCTGGCTTTTCCAAGAGCTGACAGGGTAATGCACCCCTCCCATTTCCCTGCGTTGCCCCGCGATGCGTCCTTGCCGTCGGCACTTCTGGTCCCTGCTACCTTGCTTTTCTCCAGAGGCAGCAGGGGGATGGTGGCTCTGATTCCTTCCTCCCGGCCTTTTTCACCTGGCTGCTTTGGGCCCCACTCGCCTCATTAGTCTCACGAAAGCCCCCTTTTCCTGGCTTAGGTGCCATGTTTCTTGACTGACAGCCTGTGTGGTGAGCGGATGGTCATGCCGAGGCGTGGGCGTCGGGCCGAGCCGTTTGCTGTTGTGCAGCAGGCTGTGTGGCAGCGGGCAGGTCACTGCACCTCGCTGGCCCCACTGGCCGGTGTGAGTGAGGTCTCCAGGTCAGGCGTTGAGGCAGTTTAGCTACCGAGCTGGCCCGCAATCGCACGGTGCCTGGCTCACAGGGGCAGGCGGCGGCCGCAATGGGAACGGGTCCGGGCCCGGCCAGAGCTTCTCCCGCGGCATCGAGCCTCTGCACACCCCTGAGTTAGGAACGTGTTACGTGGCCGTGTGCACGGGAAGCCCTGCTCTTCCCGCTGCCTCTCCCCTCGGCCTCCCCCTCTCCCCGGTCGGGGGCCGTGGCACTGCCCTGCCGGCCCCCGTGGAAGAATTCGCATGCGGCCACGTTGCCTGGTACCCTGATTGAGTTATGCCAGGACACGGTGTAAATGTTACTGTACAGGTGACACATGTCCTCCTCAGCCGTCAGGAGCCCAGCTGTGTCTTGTCTCCTACCTTGAAACCTCATTGAGAATAAACAGAAAAAGTGAAAAAGATATTTGAGGAGCAAAAATTGATGGCACAAAGCTTGTCTTTTGGCTACCTAGGCTATTTCTTAAATTTTTCCACTAAAATTTTTGAAAGACTAAGGGCAAAGCCCAGGACAGTTGATTACAAACAGGACACATGTTTAAAATGTTACACCCTCTCTTAAAAGTGTTTGGAAGAGACATCCTAAGCCATAATAGAACCATGCAGATTTTAATATAAAAATACATTGTAAAAAACCTCTCCAGACTTTAAAAATAATTGTTCCAGGAAAAGATACCAAATCATGTTTTTAGCCTCGTCCCCTGCATGTGTTCCAAGATGCGCTTTAGCCTGGAAACCAGACACTAAGGTCTCCCAATTTACTGAGAGTCGATTCACATTAGGTACAGCTTCGCCAAGCCTGAGGGTTTGGTTTCCAAGACATGAGTAGGAAGAGAAGAGCTCACCGCTGACTGCATAGATGGCGAGATGGCGGGGGGGGGGGGGGGGGGGCGGGGACCGCAGGGTGCCTGTAGGAGGCTCAATACTGAGGAAGGGCAGGCGGCAGTTCCCTGGCGGAGGTGTCCCCCACTAACGCTGGTGGGGGACGTGAGGCGGGCTCGCTGTTCGCAGGGAGATCTCGGCATCGCCGCTTGACAGGAGCTGTAACCGAATTGATCTTTGTAATAATCATTGTAATTCTTAAATCATCGTGGAAGAGTTAGCTGGCAAATGATTAAAAAGTTTAAAAAGAGAGTTATAGTAACTGATACAATATTTTTCCAAAAGGATAACTGGCTAAATCTTCTCTGGGCTGTTCTGTCACAGTTGGGGGTTCATCATCCTATAATTGGGGAAGTCAACCCCTTTAGTTAAAACTTTCCTATGACCCCTTTAATTTCTCGGCTTTTATTTTATTAGGTTTTTGTTTTGTATTTCTTAAACACCCCCGCCCCCGAATTTACTTTGTGCACTGTGATCCCGGAACCGTGTCCCTTTCACCGAGGCTCTTCGCTGTGTTTCAGGGGCCCTGTCCTCCAGCTCCCCCGCAGGGACTGGCGTGGTCTCCCTCACGTTCCGTTCCTACGGCTTCGGTCCCTCTCGGGAGCCCAGGTGGCGTGCAGCCGTTCACGCTCAGATCCGCTCTCTGGGCCTTCAAGACCCTGACCGCGTGCCCCCTGCCCTCCTTGGGTTGCTCCCTCCCCCCTTTCCAGCTTGTCCCCTGTTCGCCATCTTCGCACACGCTGCTGGCTCCTGGCCCTTGCCAACAGCAAGGGCCCTGTTCAGCGTTTCTTCGAAAGCTCGATTAACAGTTCATTTCTTGCTACGAGTGGATATAAACCCACTCAGGCCCTCTGCTGTGTGCTTTTGCAACCCATGGTGTCGCAGCCGGTCTCCGCAGTTAAGGGCGTCTGCCGGGCGCGTGGTGAGCTGCGCGAGACCCGCTTTGCGCGCGCTTACGGCCTGCTGTTGTGACCTGAAGCGCGCTAGGGGAGGGCCCTTGCCTTCCGTTGAACACAGTAGTATATGAAGCATGTGTATTTTGTACTTGACAATTTCATGGAACCGGTTTTTTGCTTATCATTTTGTCGTGTTTTCTGGGCTGAGAATTGAAGAAGCTTTATTCTGTGTTCATGCTGCTTTTGGGCTATTTTGGTTGGTTGTAACCTTTGCATTTTGTTCATGAAATAAAAAGCCTTTCAAGAAATGCAAAAATCCCTAAACAACAACAAAAAAATGAAAAGACACAGAATTTTTGTTTTTTAAATGTGTCGATTTAAAGTAATTTTAAAATTTGAATCATCGTATTTCCCAAGCGCACTCCCTGCTGCATGTTGTGAGGAGGCTGGTTCTGTCCCCGCGGCGGGGCTGCGGGCGCTGGCCTGGGGGTCCCCACGCTCACGGGGCTCTGTCTTTGCAGTGGACTGGATCGTCGCCAACATTCTGGCCGTGCGGCAGAGCGCCCTGGGGCACGTGCGCTATGTGCTGAAGGACGGGTTGAAGTGGCTTCCCTTGTACGGCTGTTACTTTTCTCAGGTAACTTCTCCCGTGCTTTTTTTAAAGTGTATGTAAGTTCTAAAAATGTTAGATTTTAAAATTGAACATACACTTAATATAAATGTACGTGGTGGGTTATTTTTATGAGTTTAATGGCTTTTCCTAAAATGAAGTAATTTTATTTAGGGTTTTTTATTTTTTAACTTTAAAAAATTTTTTATTGATTCATTTCTAGAGAGGAAGTGGGGGGTGAGAAACATTGATTTGTGGCACTTATTTATGCATTCATTGGTTGATTCTTGTATGTGCCCTGAACGAGGTCAAACCTGCAACCTCGGCGTATGGGGACAACGCTCTAACAAACTGAGCCACCTCGCGAAGGCTGTTTAGGATTTTTAGTGTGTATATTTATATACATGTCTGATTACCCAGAGAGTTAAATAGCAAAAATGCAAATGTACAAAAATCAAATGAATAGAAAAATTTAACGGCATAGATTTTGATAGACAATTACCTTAAGAAACTAATAATAAAATTACTGAGAATATAGAAAAAAGTAGCTTTATATGAATAGTACTTAGCATGAGCGCCAAGTACACAATTAATATTCAACATATGTTATTTTCCAAAATGCCCTTGAAAATCACGTAAAAATCTTCAGGTCATGAAACTCTGTGTAACAGGCTCTTTTCTATTCAGAAAGGGTTTAGGGGCAGGGGGTATATGGGAATAAATTACCATCCGCTCAATTTTGCAGGTAACTTTAAACTTTATTAAAAAATAGTCTAAATTCAGAGAGGGATTACTAGCATTTTCTAATCCTTTTCTGACCTGATATTTAGTTTTTTAAGTATGAAGTATAAAATTTGTATGGAAGACGTGCTTGTTAATAAGATTAGAATAACAGATGGAAGAATAAAGGACAGAGGGGCGCGCGCTCTGAAACTCTCCTCCTGCGAGGCAGCCCGGGGCAGGCGGAGCGCGCGCCCTCCCTGGTCTTCGCTCCGTGGGCGCACGCGCTCCTGTGACCTCCTCACGTTTTAGGAAGCACACACGCTCCTGATTGAGAGCCCACCCTCAGGACCTCGTGGAGCCTAAGTTCCTTCCCCGAAGGTCCCGTCCCCCAGCACCACCGTCACCTTGCGCGTTGGGGCTTAACCTCCGAACGGAGGGGGACAGAGTAAGCACCGCAGTGCTTATGTACATGTCTGTAGTTGGGGCAGCGTCAGGGACACGTTTTAGTGATTTTGTAATTAGTGGGGAAATTAAAGAGTACGATGCACCTGTGGTCGAGTTTTTGGTTTTAGAAATGTAGTTTTAAGAAAGCACCTTTAACTTCCAACAAAAGTAAATGTTCCTGTATTTTCCAGTACAGTAAGCGGTGTTATCTGAATTATGTTGAAACATAGAATTTTCAGCTAGTGTTCTTTCGATGCCGACGTCGGGACGCATTAAACGCAGTTTAGCCCCTGACGCGTAGCTGGGCGCGGCGCCCCGCGGGGCGGCGCGCAGAGGCAGTAAGCGCCCCGTCTCGTCTCTCCGCGGCAGCACGGCGGCGTCTACGTGCGGAGGAGCGCCGGCTTCGACGAGCGGGCCATGCGGAGGAAGCTGCAGAGCTACACGCGCGCCGGGACGCCGGTGAGACTGCGCGCTGCGCCTGCCCGCGCAGCCCGCGTTTTCGTTGCAGAGCTTAGTTACGATTTAAGGATTGTTTTGAAAATGTGTTGTGCCAGGTGTGGTGAATAACTCAGAGTTGTGTGAAGGCGCAAAAGCCTTCCAGACACAGGTAAGCATCCCTGGGGGCGTCAGGGGGCCGCAGGCCACGCGGCCCCGGGCTTGGGTGTCGCCAGGGCTGGCCGCGGAGCAGTCACGGGAAGAAGGCTGGCGGCCGCAGTCTGTAAATGGCAGGCGGACTCCCGGGTCACCGCGCACTCGGCCGCCTGGGAGCTCCGGACCCTGGCCGGCCTCGGTGTCAGAGGGCATTGAGGGAGAAGCAGCTGCTTCCTGTCTCCGAGTGTAAGCTGAGATTTCTTGTGTGTCTTGAGTTATTTGAAAAGCTAAGAATAACGTTCATGTCTACAAAGAATCGTTCAGCATAAACATTATTTCACACCACTTTGCTCCCCCAAAAGAGCCCTCTCGGAGAGATGCCGGGGCGCCCGGCTCCCCGGCCCGGACGGCTCGGCTGCGCGCCTGCGTCACCAGCACCCGCGCCGCGGCCGTCCTGCTGCTCGGAAACCCCCTGCCGCTGCAGGCCTCGTGTCCCTTTCTCACCCCTCTCTCCACCTTCCGCTCTCTTGTCTTCTTTTCCTCTCTCCAGGGCTCGTATCTAAGGAAGAGTTCTCCGGTCAGCTGATCGAGTGCCATGATGTTCAGGGTTTTTACCCACAAACGCTCTCTGGCTGGTTTTCCACTGTGGCCGCCCTGTAACCTGACCTCTGCGCAGGGCTCGGCTTGCAGACTTTCCAGCCTTCACTGGTCTTCTGGGCTTAGGAGCCATGTGCTTCTAGCATCTTATATCCCAAATGAAAGCCTCCTCCTACTTGTTTTATTAATAAATTTTAAAGTTTGGGATAATTTTAGATACACAAAATCCAAATTAAAAAGCCAGTTATGGAAAGGGAGAAAATAGTTGCAAAGCACATATCCTGTAATATGTTAATTTCCAAAATACATGAGAAATTTATGCAACTCACTAGCAAGAAAACAAATCACTCAAAAATGGGCAAAGAACTTGAATAGATGTTTCCGCAAAAAAGCCTTACGAAGGGCCAGCAGGTACATGAAACAAGTGCTCTACATCATTAATCATCAGGAGAATGCTGGTCACAAGCACAATGAGATGTCACCTCACACCTGTTAGAATGACTTACCAAAAAGTCAAAATATAATACTTTGGTGAGGATGTGGAGAAAAGGGAACCCTTAGATACCGTTGGTGGGAATGCAGACTGGGGCAGTCATGATGGAAAACTGAATGGAAGGGCCCTCAAATATTAAAGCTAGAACTACCTGTCATGTGATCCAGCAATTCTACTTCCGGGTGTACGAGAAGATCTGTCTGGACAAAGTCCAGCCATTGTTAATGTAACAAGAACTATTTGTGCGACATTGATGTGACCTGGCTGCCAAGGAGAGTGGATTGGAATGCGCATACATGAAGAATGACCATTTCACTGTACTAGTCAGTGGGGGCAGTAGACGCCGTTGAGTGAGCATGTGCGCTGTGTGGCCATTGCATTCAAAATGACTGAGCCAATAGGACAAAGAATCTGCATCGGATTTTGCGTTAAGCTTGAACGTTCCTCCAAGGAAGCTATTCAGATGACTTAGAAAGCCACAGATATGGGCCGCTGGTGATTGGCAGCTTCATCACGACAGTGCGCTCGCTAATGCATCACATCTTGTGCAGAGTTTTTTGGCAAAACATCAAATCACCCAGGTGACTCAGCCCCCCTATAGCCCAGATTTGGTGCTCCTAGACTTCCAGCTTTTCCCAAAACTAAAATCACCTTTGAAAGGGAAGAGATTTCAGACAGTCAATGAGATGAGGAAAATACGATGGGGCAGCTGATGGCGACCGGGAGAACTGTGTGAGGTCCCAAGGTGCCTGCTTTGAAGAGGACTGAGGCCCCATTGTCCTATGTGCAATGTTTCTTGTATCTTGTATCTTCTTCCATAAATGTCTCTATTTTTCATAGTACATGGCTGGATAGCTTCTGGACAGACCTTGTATTATATACACACACTGTCTTGAAGAGTTACCTCCATCCCCGTGTTCACTGCGGTGATAACCCCAGCGACCAGGATCCTGGAAGCAACCCAAGTGTCCATCGGCAGATGAGTGGATAAGGACAGTGCAGTCTCTGTACGTGCACGACGGAGTAGTTTCGGCCTCAGAAAAGAAGTAAATCCTGTCACTTGTGACAGCGTAGCACAGGAAACTTCTTTATTGAAGTGTTGTTAGTGCAGTGACTGACATACAGGAAGCTACAGGCAGTTGCAGTGCAGAATTTGATGGATTTTGCTGTGAGTACACAGCCATGAAACCACCCGCACGGTCAGGGTGATGAACACGTGTCAGTTGCCTCCAAAAGCTTCCTTGTGCTTCTTCCGTCCCAAGGCAACCACTGGTCTGCTCTGTTGTTAGAGATTAGTTTGTGTTCCCTAGAATCCTGTATAAATGGAATCGCACAGTTCGTACTCTGAGGGGGAGTGGGTCTGGCATCCTCCGCTTAGCCTCATCATTTTGATATTCATCCATGTTATTGTGTGGATCAGCAGTTTTGTTTCTTTTTGCTGCCGAGCAGCTTGTCATCGTGTGGCTATACCGCAGCTTGTCTGTTTGGGGCTGTTAAAAATGTAACTTCTGTTGTATCTGTGACTTGCCTCTTCATATCCATAACAGTGTCTTGAAGAACAAAAGTTTTTAATTTTCCTTAAGTCCAATTTCTTGATTTCTCCCATAATTTCCTATTTTAGAATTCCTTGTCAAACTCAAGGGTATGAGGTTCTCTCCTGTTTTCTTTTGGAAGTTCTATAGGTTTAGTTTTACATTTAGGTCTGTGATCCATTTTAAGCTAATTTTTGTATATGGTGTATTTGAAAAGATTTGATGAAAGTCTTATTTTGCCTTTTGGCTACTAAACATGTTGGTGTAGTTTTTGTAACTCAGTTCTAAAATTAGAAGTTTTTCACTGTTTAGTTTTACTGTTTCTGTTTTGACTTTTCCAAGTAAATAAATGTAAAAGCTTAGACTAATTGATTACTTAGTAAACATCCAGTTTGACATTCTCAAGGAGTGGCTTATAAATCAAGTTATTTAAAATGTATTACGGCCCTGGCCAGTGTGGCTCAGTTGGTTGGAATCCCGTACACGGAAGGGTCGGCGGGTTCGACCCCCAGTCAGGGCTTGTACAAGAAGGCAGCCAATCGATGCCTGCCTCTCCCCCTTACTCCCTCTCCCCCTTCTTCTCAATGAAAAATGTCCTTGGGTGAGGATTAAAAAGAGATGTATCATGGAAACTGTAAAATCATACTGTATGATTTTTGAAATATGAACACAACTACCTTTTATGTTGTGGAAATTTACATATTTATATGTGATTTTCCTGAAATAAGGTATACTTAGGGACACAGTTGTCTAAAATTTGCACCTTTTAAAAGTCAGTTTGCAGAACTTAGTGGGGGAAAGCTCTTTTATTAATTAATTGAGGCGTGTGAGTCAACATTTCATGGCCAAATTTTTCCTTAGTGAATATTAACATGTAATTAGAAATGTTAGGCTCTTAATGACTGACCTACCAGTGAATGTCAGACTGCATTTTAAATATAGTCTATGATCAGACTTATTTGAGTTTTTTCATTTTGGTGGTTCTGCTTTAAGTGAAGCTCATATGTAAATGAAAACACGTTTTTCCCACTGTAGGAAATACTCTCTTAGCATTAATAGGGTTAACATTGGTAAATTAACAACAAAAAAGCTAACACAAACAAACCACCCTTTCTTTGTGCTCTGCAGATGTATCTTGTGATTTTTCCAGAGGGAACAAGGTACAATCCAGAACTAACGAAAGTCATCTCAGCTAGTCAGGCATTCGCTGCTCAAGAAGGTAAGTCAGAATGTCCCTGTATTTGACAAAAGTCATTTTTAAAGATAATGACCTTTTAAATTTTTCTTCCGAGAGAAGATATTTATGTTTTACAACAATTAAAATGAATGAATGTATTTTTTCCTTGAATGAATGTGTGCATTACCTCTTAGGAAATGAAGTTCCTTCTCATTAATTCCTGTGCATGTCATTACGACTGTCTGAGAGATTGAATTCAAAGGCTTGCCACAGGGCACACTTTGGCGCTGTGGATTTGGGAAACACCCGCCTCGGTGCAGGAGTACATGGGCGCGCCCTTCTGTGCAGCGTGGGCTCTGTGGGCTGGAATGTGTTGCCCATCTGCCGGTGGGCAGACCTGGGTGGGAACCCTAGTTCTAACTCTGACCAGCTCCCTGGTTCCAAGCTGCCTGATGTCACTGAGCTTCAGTGTTCTCTCCTCTTAAAAAACATACACCTCATGGGCAGAGGACAACCTGTGTAAGAACTAGAATGTTCCAAGGTGGGGGATGTCTCTCTTGGAGAATGGTACACAAAATCGGTTCCCAGTATATGACACTGTTTTATGTCCCCAGTAACGAGAATGTTCTTGACTGTGTTTTGGGAAATCGGGTCACTGACACACTAGGGAGCCCTTCAACTTAACCGACCTGGGAGGTAAACTAAGGCGGTGGCCGTGCTGCCTGCACGAGCGTGTCCGGAGCTTGGCCGTGGGTTGGCGCGCAGCCCCCACACCCGCGGCAGGGATGTGCTGCACCGGTGCCCGTGACGACCCAGGGGTGGCGCGGTGTCCTGCCCATGGGTGGCCGGCCAGTGTCAGGGTGTGGTGGAGCATCAGAGGATCTCTGCTCTTCATTTCACCTATTTTTAGTTAATCCGATGTGAGCCCACCCCCGAATTCAGCGACTGTAGGCGGTTAGCAGCTGCCCTCTGCGCCCGGCTCTGCGTGCGGGCCCTGCTGAGCAGAGCTGCGGGCGAGGCGGCCCTCTGTCCCAGTGACCAGCTGTGCGCCCTCCTTCACCTGCCCTGGGCAGGAGCTTGACTGGGCCGCAAAGGCCCGGGGGCTTCGCCCGGTGTCAGCTGGGCAGGTCCTAGGTGGCGCCTCCAGCTCCGTTGGTTGGCCACCGCAGCTGGGAGGAGCAGGGCATCTCTTCGGATTTCCTTTCAGCCTCTCCTGTGGCGTCTGCCGGGCATCACTCTTGCGCCAGCATGCAGCCTGAGGTGGACGTCACCACGAGCTTTGGGCTGCGGTTTGCAGCGCGCACGTTAGGTAACCTTAGGCAGTTGCTTGGTTTCTCCCGCTCTTTCCCCGTGTGTGAACCTGGAGTCTGACGTCTCCTGCACAGGGCTTTCGGGAGGTTCGGCGACATCACGTCCATTGAGGCAGGTGGGGAGGGCCGACGGTAGGCGTTGTTCTGTGCCCTTTCAGGTGAGGGACTCGGGCACCCGCGGACCTGGGTGTCTTCAGGTGTCCTGGAGCCTGCGCTGCCGAGGGGTGACGGGGTCTTCACAGGGTCCACAGTCACACGGGAACGTTGACTGTGAGCGTCCGGAGCCCCAGCCCGCACGTTCAAGGGTTAGCTGTATGTGACCTGTCCTGTGTGTGTTCCTAGTTACACACTGGCGTGTGCTTTCCAGGTGGGCAAAGGAAATGTTTACATGCAGACAGACTTACGTACTGTTACATTTATTCAGAGTCATCATTTCCGTCCAAGTTCCAGGCCCTGTACCAATCATCACGGACTAGGTGGCTTGAACAACACATTTTCCCACAGTCCCCTCCCACCTCAGGAGCCTGGAAGTCCGAGTCACAGGTGTCAGTGTGGCCCAAGGCCGTGCGGAGGGGAGGGGCGCCTCCAGGGAGGCGCCGCTGTGCCTCTTCTTTTCATAGGAACACGAGTCCCATTGGGTTGAGGCCCCCTACCGTGACCTCAGCGCACATTTGCCCCTCTCCCGAAGGCCCCGTGTGCGGGGCTGCCCAGTGGGGCTCGGGCTTCAGCGCGAACGGCGGGAGGGGAGGTGTGCAGAGATGCTTCAGCCCCTGGCAGGACCTTCGGTTACTTTCCGGATGTGAGGAGATTTAATACTGACATTTCTTCACTCATCATTTTAAAATCAATTTAAGGTGAACCTTTACCTTTTATTGTTTACCTCATCAACTGAGATAACTGTTTAACATACCTACTAAGATTAGTTTTTTTAAAAACTCCACAGCAATTTTGTAACGCTTTTTAAAACCAGTACTTTTAAATAACTCTTAAAATAGTGTAAGGATGGTATAGTCACCTAAATATAATTGATAATGATTGGTCTGTTATTTTTCTGAGCTGTAGATCTTTCTCAAAGTTACCAAAAGGGGAAGAAAAGTTTGTCTTATGGATATAGTTTTTAACTGCTCCCTGTTCTTTAAATCCTCTAACTGGGAACACTCTTGCTATCAGAAGTATATTTTCTTGTGAACTTACAAAGGTAATTATTCCCACCATACACGAAGAAAACTGATTTGTGGACAGTATATCTAGAAAAAGTGCTTCTGGTTTTATTTCCGTTTTTGGTCACAACTAAGTGAAATTACTCAAAAATGACCAAAAAACTTGTTTCTGCATTTGTTAATTTTCCTTTCCGAAAGTTGAAACTCATAGCATTTGTTAGTCTGTGATATGTTTTGTTTCTCAACCTTATTAATTTTGCTTCTAAAGTAACTTTGACTCTGACTTTTAAAAAAATAGATTTTTGAAAGTTGCCACTTGTTTGCACATTTAAGCCATCACACCGTGTGCCCCTCTCAGCTCTCTGTGGACGGTGGCCTGGCCGGCTCGCCGAGCAGAGCTGGTGCTTGTGGGTGTCTGAGGTCTGTCTCAACCCTGAATAGTCCAAGGCTCCGCTTGCCGCTGTTTCCTAGCAATATTTTGTTTAAAAAAATACTCGGCACAAAATATGTTGATTCAGTGTTAGGGCTGTTATTTAAGATACTTGTGTTATGGTACTTGTGTTAAGATACTTGTCCATGAATTCTTAATATTGTTTACTTCAAAGATTGCTAATGATCTCTTAATTCTCTTCTTACTTGACACTAAATGTTAGTCATTCTTTTAAAAAAGACTAATTCACATTACCACATAAGCTACTCAAGATTTTTTTTAACTACAATCTGCCCAGGACAATACTTAAGATTCTGAGAAATCTGAAATATAGGTAGAGTCTTCATGAAACTATGTAATGTCAAGTAAACAAGGTATATATTGGAGGCTGCTCATTTTTACAATAGTAATTAGAGAAAGAATTTTATTTGCAGAGAGAATTTTATTTTATTATTGTCACTTAAGAAAACAATGGTAAAACATTTAGTAAGGAGGAGTTCAAAGTAATATGTGAAGATAATAGTGTATAAATATAAGTTAGTATAAATATAGCAATATAATGCACTATATAGTACAGCAGAATTAAGTAAATATAAATAAAATAATATGGGAGATAAATGATCTTTTTGTAATTGTATTTCTAAGGCGTTTGTTTTGTTGGTGACTGAGCATTTCAGTGTAGGTCCAGCGACCCTAGCGAGGCGCGCCCTGCTGCTGGTGTTGTCAGGTGTCTGCCCAGCTCTGCCGCGGCCTGCAGAGCGCTGGGGGCGCTGCCTGCCCCCAGTGGGCCACGAAGGCACCGCCATGGGCCTCGATTTCTATGGAATCAACGTCAGTCAGGATACAAAGGCAGAAGAACCATACTGGGATCCCATGCTCCAACCTCATGTTCCCAGGGTCGAGTTTCTGTTCTGGCGTGCTCATCGTTTTGGAGAGACGAGGAATGAATAAGGGGAGTGAGGAAGCTCTCGCGGTTCGTTTATGGTGATACTGAGGAGGCTGGCGTTCCCCTTGGCATGCACGCTCCTCCCTCAGTGTCTACCTGCAGCTGGGGGTCGCTTCTCAGTCCTCTGGCTTCCTCTTACTCCTCGTGTCAAGAGCCTGGTTCCAAGTGGCACCTGGGTCAGGACGTAGCCTTAAGGATGACAGCAGCAGGGCGCAGTGCTTGTGGGCCGGGGGGGTGGCGCGGGGGGACAGGGCACCTGTCGTCACTTGCCTGGTGCTGTGGACACAGCAGGGGTGCGGTGACTTTGAGAGCCGGGTTTTACCTCCGAGGCCATGTCTGTATCGTTGGCTTGCGGAGTTTTATGGAAATAAGCCATGGGGTGGTCTCTTCCTCCTGTCTCTGCGCACCCTGTCTCACCGCCCTGTTGTGGCTTCTTGCTCCGTCTGAGCTCTAAGGCCAGGGCGCTCTTGAGTGGCGCCGAGCCGGCAGCGCCCGCAGCCTCTGGGCGCTGCACGGTGCAGGGGTTCTCAGGGCCCGCCCAGACGTGCCGCGTCAGCAGGCGGAGGGGCGCTCGGCCTCCACATGGGCCGTGGTCGGGAGTGTCCCGACGCTTTCTAGCTGCTCGCTCGTCTGAATGGGACGAGTGATGTGGTCAGGTTAGGTGGCTCAGAGTTTCTGTTTGCACCCGAACGTGTGGATTAATATCTATTGATAAAACTTTATTTTACACTCAAGTTTCGTTAAGAAAAAGGAAGGAAAAATAGTTACACACCCATTAGAGATGGGCAAGAGGAAGAGACCCTCCATCTGGTAACCTTCCCATATGTACTACTTTCACAACTTAAATCTTTCTCAGTTATACAAAGTATTTCATTGTAATTAGTTTTCTGCAGAATCCTTTTAGGTGTTTTGCTTTCAGCGCTTGCTAAGGAGCGAGGAAGGCAGTGTGCCTTAGTCGTCATCCTGAGCCCGCCCCAGTGAGCCCCATAGTGGCTTTTTACCAAGAGCAACCTGCAAGAGCAAATGAACTTTTTGAACCCTAGTACTAGAAAACAAGGATTTTTTGGCTCATCTGTAGTAGTGAACCAAATACCTAGAATTTTCATGCTTTGAGCAAATAGATGGCTTCCTTAGCATCTATGCTGTCTCTCTCATGTGGCCTAACGTCCCTAGGGTCCCACAGGTCAGCAGACGTGCCTGGGCCTTGCCACCCGGAAGCTCTCACCATGGGGACCCAGGAGCGCTCCTCAGCCTTCCTCCCCCAGCCGTGTCCCCATGCTCCGCGCCCGCCCCGGTCCATGCCGTCCCCTTGTGTGTCTTTGCACCACGACCCCCGTGCTGGCCTCTCTCCAGCGTCCTCTTCTTCCCAAAGCTCTCGCCCATCAGCTAGGAGGCACTGAAACCGCCTTTAAGTGGGACTGTTAATTTTACGCTCTGAGAACGTTTCCTGCCTTTCAGGGCATTGCCACGTACTGGACCTTAGGTATCTATTTTATTGCCCCGTGACTCTAACTTACATGTTTATAGTTTTAGAGCCATGTCTTGTCAATAATTCCTGGATAGAAACGTACTGAGCAAGGCATCATGGGGCCTCCCTGGCTGTGTGCCTTGAGCAGCAAGCAGGCCAGCAAGAGGATGAGGGAGACACATGTCCTGTAAAATCCCCCGCAGGCATCAGTAGAGGGTTTTGGACACGTGTGCCTGTCGTCATGTACCAGTTTCCGAAATGGAGCACTAAGAGCAACATTTCAGGTATAGCGGCCAGCGCCAGGTCGGCCCTCGGTGAGGAGCCAGGTCCAGGGCGAGGGTGAGCGGCAGCTCGGGACCTGCGGGGATGGGGGTGAGGCTGAGAGAGCCTAGGCGTGTGGGCCAGACCCAGACAAACCCACTGAAGTAGCTGCTGTTTTCCCAGTTCAGGGCCGGGCACTCGGGGGCTCCCTGCAGGCAGAGCCCCGTCTGTCAGCGTGACCATGGCGGGCTCTGGGGTCTGAGCAGCAAGCCGCAGGCGTGTCTCCAGCTCGCCGTTGAAATTCTAGCTGGCCTCTCTGTGACCCATGTGAACTGTTCCTGTGACCATGTCCTGAGGTTCTGGGATCAGAGGGCCCTCTTCCGTGGACCTTATCCCTGAGGCCCCCTCCGCGAGAGACTGGAAACCCTTGTCTGGGTGGGCCGGGGCGCTGGGCTCAGGCTTAGGGCTATGAGGTTAAAGAAGGGCCACATTCCATTTGTTGTCATGGTGAGGGTGTCCCCTGTGTGCTGTCTCCTCACACACTGACGCCTCACTGGAGCCACTCCCGCTTCCCTGCTCTGCAAGCTCTCGTTCAGGTGACAGAGGACCTCCGTTTCCCAGGTGGTCGCTCTCAGCGCAGCACCTGCCCTTGTCGTCAGTGAGCGTGGTTGACCGTTTCCTTCTTGAGATGCCCGTTCTCTGCCTGTCTCTGCTGCCAGGTCACATTTGTCCCTCCCTCGTGGGCTGTCCTTCCCTGGAGCTGGGCAGGGGCTGAGTCCAGACAGAGTGTGGGGACGCACCCCCCCGGGGGACCCCTGCAAGAGGGCGTTGGTCAGGGCTGCTGCCACCGCCTCTGGGCTGTGGGCGGAGGTGTCAGTCACCCCCCACAAAGCCGACTATTCCAAACGTTAAGTGTCACGCTTTTTTTGAGAAACGCTACTTTTACTTTTTCGTCGTCTTACTTACTGTCTACTAATTAGTTGTTCTTACTGAATACCACAGGGTGATTCTGTGGAACTTTGGTCTTAAAATTAGGTGATCTTACACTATGCTGTATACCTGCAACTAATACAAAATAATATTTAAATATTGGGTGTGCTTTAATAGCAAAGAAGGAAGTACTAATTTAATTGACAAATGTATGTTTCCCAGCTGGTACACTGTTCAGATTTTTGTTACAAGTTTGTGAAGAAATTAAGCAGCTTCTGCCCTGGGGACTAGGTTGGATTTGTGGTGTGGGAATGTCTGCTTTTCCCACACCGCTCTGCATTTTAAAAATTCTTCTGCGGAAGATCCCAACATGCTATAACTGTTCTTCCTTATGCAGCTGGTTTTCCCTGGAGAGAGGGAGTAGGAGTTACAAATTGAACTTTCTTTCTAGTCTATTTTCATGTCACTTCTGCAGAGAGCCCTTTCCTGTGACACAGTGAATAGTCTAACCCAGGAACAAGGAGGCAGTAGGAAACAGGGAGGCACAGCAGGTTCTTAGCACTAGTAGGAACACTGACGAATAGGTGATTAATTATTAAGTTGCAGTATTTTCTCAGATAAAGATTTTTAAAAGAAGCTTTCACAAAAAATGTATATGGCCCCCTGGCTGGTGTGGCTCAATGGATTGAGCACCATCCTGTGAACCAAAGTGTTGCCAGTTCAATTCCCAGTCAGGGCACATGCCTGGTTTGTGGGCCAGGTCCCCAGTAGGGGGTGTGTGAGAGGCAACCACACATGGATGTTTCCCTCCCTCTCTTTCTCCCTCCCTTCCCGTCTCTCTAAAAATAAGTAAATTTTTAAAAAAAAGTATATGTGCAACTATATCAAATATTCCCTAGAGAATTATCATATATATATATATATATATATATATATTTATACAAAAATTTGTTGATATGCAGCATTCATATATAGTTTGTATGAATGTTTGTAGCAGCATTTTTCACAAGAGCCAAAGGGCGAAAACAACCTAGAAGGCTGTATCACCTGGTCAATGGCTATGCAAAGTGAAAGAAGCCAGTCACCAGAGCCCACCTGCAGTGTGGTCCCATTTGTGTGCGAGGTCCGTAACAGACAAATCTGTAGCGACCCACAGTAGGCTCTTGGTGGCTGGGGGAAGGGTGGGGAGGGAGGGCGGGCTGGGACTGCCCGCGGCGCAGGGTGTCGTTTTGGGGTGATGAAAGGCTCTGGAGTTTGAGTGGTGATGGTTGCACATAACTTTGAATACACGTGAAAAAAAAAATCACTGAATTGTGTATGTTAAAATCGTAAATTTTATGTATGTGAATTAGATGTCAATGTAAAAAAAAATATACCAAGAAACTGAATTTTGGTGGTTTCCCCTGAAAGGTTCAGGCCAGTATTTCACTTCACGTGCCCACCCACGCGTCTCTCACTACAGCGAGGGACATTTCGGTCATTGATCTGAATAGGAAATTCAGTAGAACTGGAAGAATCATGGGCTTGGAGTCAAGAAATACTGAACCGAACTGTGGATTCTTGACTGACCGAGGTCTGGCGACAGGGCCACCTTTGTCCTGTGGCTGGAGCCGAGGCGGACAGTGTCGGCCCTCGTCGTGCTTTACCAGGTCGAAGGGTTTCTGACGGGTCGGGAGCTTTTTTAGGCGGTTTTCTGACCACCTCCTGCAGTGTCCATACAGGCGGATGCATAACAAACAATCATGTGAGAGCACTTTCTGCAGTCGATTCCCGGAAGCAGAACGGGGCACAGACATCCTCTGATGCGTCTGCTCGTGGACAGTGACAAGCAGTGTGCAGGTTCCATCTTGGGGCTCTGCAGCTCCGAGGCAGCCACACTGGGTCCCTTTCTCTTCTAGGCCTGCCAGTGTTAAAGCATGTCTTGACCCCGAGAGTGAAGGCCACCCATGTGGCTTTTGACTCTATGAAGAACTATTTAGATGCGGTTTATGATGTCACAGTGGCTTTCGAAGGGACTGTGGATGAAAGAGGGCAGCGGAAGGAAGCGCCGTCCATGGTCGGTAAGTGCGTGTTCAGGAAGTCAGCCCTTGTCCTGTGTTGTTCCCTTTTTGGCAGCAGCAGAGGGGACACCACTTCGTTACATTGACCTGATAGCTTTTCCTAGTCAATAGACTGATAGAGTTTTCAATTTTTTTTTATTCATCTGCAACAATTTAAATTTCATTGGTCTTACCAAGTTGTTTGTATTTCTGGGTCACCATTTCAGTCCTTCAGAGGGTGGGGACACGCTTCCCACAGAGTCCAGCTTCCTGTTCCTGGGCTGGCCGCACATGGACAATGACGCTGGTCTGCTGCTTTAATCTGGCAACATGGGCAGTGGCGGTAGATGTGGAAGCTGGAACACACTCTCCCCTTCAGCTTGACACCCAAACCACCAGTGACAGTCTGTACTTTAATTTTGCTTTTGCTAAGGAATCTGTACCTTTTTATTTTTAAACATTTTTTGCCTGTTTTATTTTACATAATGTGAATTCTAAAATTAAAAAAAGTGAAATACTTTTTTTTAGAATTTCTCTGCAAAGAATGTCCAAAAATCCATATTCACATTGATCGTATAGACAAAAAAGATGTCCCAGAAGAACAAGTATACATGAGAAGATGGCTTCATGAACGTTTTGAAATAAAAGATAAGTGAGTACCAACAGTTTTGCACTTCAAGAACTTTGTTTCAGCCAAATTTCAATATATTAAGCCATTTAAAACGGACGTAGAGTTTTGTTATCTTCAGGGTGCTTTTTGCGCCCTGGCTGGTATGGCTCACTGGATTGAGTGCCAGCCTGCAAACTAAAGGGTCGCCAGTTCAATTCCCAGTCAGTGCACATGCCTGGGTTGCAGGCCCGGTCCCCAGTAGGGGGCGTGTGAGAGGCAACCCCACATTGATGTTTCTCTCCCTCTCTCCCCCCCTTCCCCTCTGTCTAAAAATAAATAAAATCTTTTTGGAAAAAAGTGCTTTTCATAAAGTCAAGTCAGCCTTGTCCTGCAGTACCATTCACATTTGAACCTTTACCGCTCTGCGTCCCTGGAAAAGAGCTTGTTGTAGTTGGTCCCTCTGTTTTCATTTACAGTATCTCTAAAGTGAGACTGTGGTAGGATATAAAATTTAATAAGAAAAGATAAGGCACTGTAAGATGTCCCAAATCTGCCTTCCCAGAGCTGTGTTTTGACATGAAAATCTGTTCTGGGGGGGGGGGGGGGGGGAGCCAGAACAATATGTTTAATGTCCAGTTTATTTTGTGTTATGAGTATTTGTACACATTTAGGATGAGTCTGGATATTTTAAAACAGTGATTATCTCTAGGGAATGATTTATAAGGCAAAAGCAGGACTTTTAATTTTTATACATTGGTGTTAGAGATTATTCAGTATGTTCTGCTATTAAAATTTTACATTTTTAAAATAAGATGGGGAACGAATTAATGATACGTTCCCTCTTGGCTGCTTTTATAATTCCAGGGACTAAGGCTTTGTGCCCTGAGCACTGCTGACCGGTCCCTGATGTGGTGGGAGCTGGGGGGCGGGGGGGCAGGGCTCATCACCCCGCTGTGGGTCAGGTCCTGGTAAAACGTAACTGACCTGAAGTTTATAGAACAAAACATCTCCATAAAATGGCTTGAAACCATCGCATGTAATATAATACACGTACATTACTCATGGAGCATATCCAGGATATTTTTAAAGTCTACAGACTCCAGCTAAGCCTGGTCTCTGGCTGCTGCCTCTTCATCTCTATTTCTCAAGGACCTGTACCTTTCCCGGCACATGACAGGTGCCCAGGAGGCGTTTGTAGGGTTCAAGTACTGAAATGACCGGAGGTGAAACTTACAGCTTCCTCCATTCCTGCCGTAGGCTGCTCATCGAGTTCTATGACTCGCTGGATCCAGAGAGAAGAAACAGGTTTCCCGGGAAGAGTGTGCCCTCTAAACTCAGCCTTAAGAAGACCTTGCCGTCACTGCTGGTCCTGGGTGGCCTCACGGCCGGGCTGCTGGCGACGGAGGCGGGGCGGAAGCTGTACGTCAAGACGTGGGTCTACGGGACCCTGATTGGCTGCCTGTGGGTCGGTATCAAAGCCTGAGGCCGCCCGGCGGCGGTGCCTCGGCCGCGTTGGCGGCGGCGCCCTCCGTCGCGTCGCTTCCGCAGTTAAATACGGAGCGTAAATAAAGCCTTGTTGATTGAACTCTGGTTAAAACAGAATTTCTGACTAAAGCCGCAGTCGGCCTGGGCAGACTCGCCTGCTGTCGCAGCCTCGGCGCGGGAGGTGGCGGAGAGCGCGAAAAGCTAACGCCAGCGTGTGCCGCCCTCGGCGGCGGAGGCCGCCGCCCCGCGTGGCCGCGGCGGGGCTCCTGAAGGCTCACTCGCCCTGTACGTCACTGTGTGTGTTGTTTCCGGTTTCCTGCAACTTCCCCGGTCGAGGCGCTTGACCACTGGAGCATTGAGTAGCTTGCCGCTGTGTGATGCGTGGCTTTCGGCGTAACTTCCCCGAGTCGGTGGAGGGAACGGTCCTTAGGCTTTGAGGAGGAAGGCGAGGCCGGCCCTGGCGAGGGGCTCTGGGGAGCGCCTGCGACACGTGCGGATTTCCACTCTGTATTTGCAAAAATAATTCGCATTTCTAATATTTATTGAAACAGCTTAATTTGCACACCCTGTGCTCTTCACAGAAGACTAATGTATGAAGTGCAAGAATTAAGTGTAAGTTAAGATCGGGACCCTCGTTCCTGCAGCAGAGCTTGAACTTGCCCGGCATGTAGAAGACTCCAGCTAAGCGCTCAGAACCTCGCAACGTCTGTGCCATGAGTACTTGAAAACCGGAAGGTTTCCTTTTATTTTTTTATCTCAAAATGATCCTTGTGTTCCCCTGTCGGATCTGGTTCCGCTGAAGCCTGAGGAGGGGCGGCTCTACGCGTCCGCCGGCTATGCCCGCCCGTGCCTTCCGCCGCTCCAGGCCGGCGGAGCCCTTGGTCCTGCAGCCGCGTGGCTGTCGCCGTCGCTGCCGCCGCGCCGCAGGGCCTGCCCTGCGGGTATGCGCCCCCCCCCGGGGGGGCGCGGCGGGGGGGCCTCGGTGTCCGACCCGGGTGACAGTGCGCTGCGTCGGCTCTGGTGGGGGCGCCTCGCTGGCAGCGGCAAAGACGCTTCGCGTTTGTTCCACGTCAGGGAACCTACTTCCTCGCGCCAGTGCGGCGCCGCGCCGCTCGCAGCCAGGGCTGGTGTCAGGCACCAGGCTGCACGGAGCTCGGTCCGGGACCGAGACTCTGTGCGGGAGGACGTTTTCCAAGCGCGATCTGCTCTAAGTTTGTGCCGCTGGTGGATTTTGTTCCACGTGTATCGTTGCTCCCGCTGAAACACACCAGTGGAATCAGGATACACACAATGGAAACAGTAAGCAAGAGAGATTTTGTCTCTGCGACACTCCGGGACCGGAGCGCCAGCCGCTTCGGGCAGCACCCCTGGCGGGCAGGGCAGAGGAGGGCTTCGCCGGGTGGCCTGCTCGTGTGCGCACGCGGGACCGCTCCGCTCGGGGCGATGGGCCGGGTCACGTGGGGCGTCGGGAAGCTCCCGAGGGGCACGCAAGCCAGGTCGCAGGGTGCGCTCACCCGCGAAGTGAGGTTCAGGTCTATTAGGTGTCTTTGTTACACGCTTTTTTTAAGTCCTAAAGTTTGACCCTGCTTCTGATTAGATCTAAATAAATGTAAGTTGTGTTACTTTGAACATAATGGATACGCTCTAAATTTTAAGTTTTAAAAAGCAATACCATTAGAATTTTGTTGATTATAACTGATTTTAAAAAGGCAAAGTGAACTGCATAAAATCACTTGAAAATCATGTTTTTTATTGCTATACTTATGTTCTTAACACAAAAGGTCTTTAAAGTAAGTGTTAGTAAAAAAGTCTATCAAAATATTCGGAAAATTAGGAGCTGATTTTTAACATGTATTGATATCATTTGAATTATTTTCTAAAATTAAGTGCCCCATGCCTATTTGTAAATCTCTTCATATAATATCATTTAAGCTTTTGTTTGTGTTATTGTTGATTTACAGCTTAGTTATTATTTAGTTTTTCTTTATAAGAACACCATCAATGTGCATGCTTTTATGTTTTCAGAAAAGGGTGTGTGTGGGTGAAAGTAAAAGAAAAAATAAAATCTTTCAATGTCTGTAACGTGTGTGCTATTTAACATTTTGCGACCCAAAAATTCACCAACAGTTTTCTGTCACACGAAATAGGCTTTATGGCTGGCCCCACACTTTGAATATATAAAACTGTAATACTTTCTGAAAACTACTGAGCCAGTTTAAAAAAAAAAAATTAAAACATTCAAAATTGTGTACAGCATATTAGTTTGGTTATATAAACTCTTCTCTGTATTGTATAAGATGTATGGCAAGTGTGAATTGCATGATGATTCTTTAATCATGGGGACAGCTTGCGGAGATGTCAGATGCCTGACAGCAGCAGGCTGGTGAGCCGGGCACCCATAGGACACATCCTTCCGTCGCTCACTGTAATGATTCCTTTCCTGCTTCACGTCCACGGGGTTTCTGTTTCATTTCATGTGGTACCTTTACGTGCAGAGGATGTAAGCTTTGTCCTTTTCTTTGTAACATTATATGGTTTATCATTATGTTTACTGAATGGGTCTGCGTCAATAAAGTGATCTCATTAGATTGATTGTTAAAAAAAATAAAAATGAAATGTACAGGAAATTTGCCCACCAAGTATGGGCAACGCAAAGTGCCTGTCAGATACACACCAGACTCACATCTAAGAAGATGGAGAAATGTCTACCACAGTAGTATTTCCTGTGTACAATTGCAGTGTATAATAAAAATAAATTTTAACCTTGATAATGTTTGTTCTTGAAGTATTATTTTGGGGAAAAGGATTGTCTTGGCTATATTCCAGATACCACCTATAGTAAGTTACATTATCTTTGTTTTTAAGGAGGACTTTGGGAGGACAGTTTTTATTATGAGTTACACATACTTTTATGTTAAAGATCGTCTAACTTGGAATATTATGTTGTTATTTAGTATAATTGGCATTAAGACAGGCTAACAATCTAATACCCAAGCATTAGGATGAAAATCAGTATTTGGTCAAAGTATCAATATTTGGAAGCATTCAGATATTTGCTATTATATAGACAAAATATCCAAGTAATTGAATTTTAAACTTTTTCCTTATATATTGGAGTGCTGTGTATAGAATCACTAATTGATTTCCGTTTAGAGTAGTCATGACGACATTTTCCCCAAGGCTTATTTGGCGTTTGTTCCAAGTTTGGATGCTAGAGTAAATCAATCACTTGTACCAACCATGGAGTCAGTCTTGGAGTAGAGGTGTATGAGGTCCAAGAGACAAATACCTAGTTGATATCCTGAGCGGAAAAAAAGCAGCTGCTTTTTCAGAAAGCCACAACAAATAGCTCAGTTCCTTACTGTATGTACTGAAGGAAACCTGAAATGGGAGGTGAGCCCCATAAATGTTGATTGATAAGAGACGAGACAGATGCGTTACTTCAACCAAGGGAGGAGTGGCTCAGGGTTTGACTCAGGATCATGTAGGAAAGACAGACTCCAAAATTTTATTTTTAAACATCGTTATATTCAAGAAAGAGGAGACAGAAAACGTCACCGACCTGTGTGCCCAGCAGGAGAGAATGTTTGGCTGACAACTTTGTCTCCCTGTGGTATGTTCAGGGTTGATCCTGACTTAACATTCTTGTGTTTGTTGGTGCTTCATTAGCTCAGCAAAAAAAAAAAAGAAGAAAAAATACAAATCTGCAAAGTTAGTTATTTGGTGATATGTATAATAAAAGATCCACTTGGTGATAACTTTCATATATGTGTGATGATATGTCTATATGATATATATATTTTATTCCCAAGCATCGCTACAGAATGCTATATGTAATTTTTAATAAGCTCATTTTGTTCTGATACCTGCCAGGATGTGCTGAGCACTTGCTGTGCACTGGGCAGCGTGTTAACCTCCCGCGGCGCTGTGTGGTCTAATCCTCGTGACGGAGGACATGTAGAACAGGCCTGACCGAGGGAGGGAACCCACGGGCAGACTTCCAGGTGTCGGGTCTGGTGCTCCCACTTGTATTAGTGTCTGCGTCCCCATTTTCTCCCTGGTGAAACACCTACAATCATCGTGTTTGCCTGCTTTGCTGAGGTCTCTGTACGCTGTGTGTGAAGCACTGTCGAGTGAGGAATGTAGCAAGTGCTAAACACATCTTGTCCTTGGACTTCTCCTGCTCCTTGCTTTACCGATATATAAGGCAACGGGCTCAGAATGCGTGGACAAAGGGCACCAAACCACGTGGCTAACACTGGCTGCTGACAGGTGCGCGCTCATTCCTGCCCACTGAACGAAGATGCAGTGTGGCGTTTCAGGCTACTTCTGGGCCCTTAGCAGTAAGTGGTCCAAAGTACAGTCACAGCCACTTGAAGACTACAGGTTTTGTTTAAAATGTGACCACACAGCGCAGAGATCACAAAAGGAGAGATGATCCATCTTTCATGAGAAAGTCTCACAGTCTGTCCTCTGTGGGTCCCCATGGTGATGGCAGAGGGTCCTTAGGTCAGTGAGAGGTGAAGAGTCCTGGCAGATCCTAAGGCCTTTCCTTGCAGTGGCTACAGGACAACAGTAGTGGCCGTGGTCCCGCAGTAGATTCCGTGCTAATGGAGAGCCTGCCCTGCAGACCTGCGCTGTGGCCAGGCACGCGCACGTGCAAGGCAGTTGCCACCCCGTGGGAACCCTCCGCTGTCTGTGAAATGAGGACACACCTTATTCAGAGAACCTAGAAGAAGAGTCCAATGGAATGATAGTTGCCAAAACACATTCTCATACAAAGCTCCACCTAGATGTGAGAGATGAGCATTTTCCCTACATTTCAGCTGCCCACCATATAAATAAGTAATTGACCTTTGTTTTCTGGTGTATTTAGGAACCCAAAGACATGACTGTCGGGAATACTTACTATTATTTCTCAGGCACTCAGGACCATCCTTGGGTTGTGTTTCTCCATGCATCCGTCAGTTGCTTTTATGTGGGTCACAGACCTGTTTTCTAGTAACATACGGACAGGTAACCAGTTCCCGTCGGTTTGTGGCAGCCTCTGTCCTCTTCGCTCACCTGCACCCACCTTTTATAAGGTCTTTGGGTGTTCGTTGCAGGTAAGATGGCAGAGAAAATTGTGTTTTTTCCCCCACCCACCATGCCATCCCAATCTTTTATCACTGGCCAGGACGGAAAATGCCAGAAGCCACTCTTGGAGATCATTTCTTATATAATAGGAACAAGGATGGAGAAAAGCTGACTTCAAAGGAAGAGCACTTCCAAAGTAAGGAGCAGTTGACAATGAGAGCTGAAGGGGAGTGTCAGGCTGCAGGGTGGCCCAGGGTGGGGGGGAGGAGGTGGCTTAAGTCCTGGAGTCTGGGACCTCTGGAAACCCCTCCGGGATTTGCTTTGGCGTGCTCGGGCTGATTTGATTTGATTTGATTCTGGGTGGTGGTAGCTGAAGTCTCACCTTCTAGTTCAAGTCAGGCAGAAGTGCTAGCAGCAGCGCTGTTGTCCCTGTTAAAGCTTCCCGGGGCTGCGACTAAGTTCCTGTCCAAGGAATTCAAACCGCAGCCAGTGTCGTGCATTGGCCTGCGATGTTAGGTGCTGGGCTTGGGGCTGAACTAACACGGCTCTTGTCGGAGGTGCCTGGTACCTGGGGTGTGAAGAGCGCAGCAAAGCAGAGACAGAAAGGGACTATCGCCGCCCTCCTGCAAGGCCTGGTGGCTGCCCACTCCCATCTCGCCCTCTGCCAAGGGGCGAGGTCCTCCCAACCCTGTCCATGCCTGATGTTTGGGACCTAGAGTGTTTCTGATGCTTCCAGGTTAGGCCTGCCATTTATGGGAGGGAGGTGTCTGTTACCTGAACCCAGAGGGAGAGCAGGTACCAGCCCCACCCAGGCAAGCTTGTGGATGTGGGCACAT